ATGCTGAGTCATACCAGTTTAATGTAGAATGTTGCGTAGTTTCTAGGGACTTTCTTCATTCTTCCTTGCCAAACTCTTCCATGTTAGTAGAATTTTGCTGGTAACTAACTTGACTGCTAAGGACAGACTACACCAGGAGGCTGGGTGATGCTAAAGCCAAAGGGGCTAAAAGTCCTTTCCTCTTCCAGAAAGCCAACAACAGCCAGTGAAGGAGCATACCAAGGAGCGTTTTAGTCTCTCATCTCATTCCAGCTTCTGTTTCCCTCTTGAGAGGCAGCGAGCCATCCTCCCTAGCTTCTGTCGTTTTCTACATTGCCAGAAAGCAGGTTAATGTCCTCTCTCCACTGAGTATTGGCTTCCCTGAAAATAACTCCAGAATGGGCCAGTGAGTGATACTGGGAGAGGCAGAAGCCGCTCCAGGTGCTCACTTTTCCCATACTCTTGCTTCCCAGCAAGTCCCTTGTAACTAAGCCAAAACACCACACGTGACTTCATCCTGCCATGGACCTGTACCAAAAAAAACGCCCAGGCAACTTTCCAGACGAGCTATTTTTTTCCAAACATTTGCTTCACTGTAGGCAGCTAAAAGAGTTGAAGTCAGGTCTCAGATATAGGGTGCTTCATGAAGGACCACGATTTGGCTATCCTAGCTTGAGAAAAAAAAAAAAAACACCACCACCTCAAGGGTGTTTCTTTAGGAAGCGGCCGTAACATCTTTCTTGACACCTCCCTCCACTTTGTGCGTTTCTCTTGGTGCAATGTGATCTGCTGTTTAAGGTCAACTGATCCATTTGATGTTTTTGGATCTGAGCAGTTACCTTTACATCATTCTGCGAAAAAAAAAAAAAGAAAAAGGAGTTTTGTTCAGGACAGTCCTCATATCCCAGCCAATACAGCGGCATTAGGGTTTTCATTGCCTCTTAATTTTTAATAGTCCCCCAGAGTTTAGGCTAGTGCTTCATTGTATTTTCTCTGACTCCTGCAGATGCTTGCGGCTTTGCTTTCTGGTTGTTTGATTTCTTCTTTGCCATGTATTTAAAAAAAAAAAAAAAAGTTGTGCTCTGCTTGCTGCTGGATCACACAGCATCCAAGTAGCCAACTTCCGAGGCTGCTGAAGAGCATGCTGATCTGTCACCCTGAAGACTGCTTTAGTATGGATGTGAATAAAAATGGTGGTTGAACAGAAAGCCCATCCTTGACTGGCACTAGATGAAAACAGGCACTGGGTGAAAGACTCAGTTTTGAAGCAGAACCTGTTTAAAACAAGGTGACTGAATGCTCTTCCAGTTGCAGCAATCGTACAGTAGAAGCTGAGTTGCTTCCAATCCCAGCGCGTGGCTCTCTTCTAACGAACTGACTCATTGTGAGCTGAAGTCGCCATTGTTTCATGAGGCCGAAACACTGAAGCTGAGAAAACTTGCTCATAATTACAGGTTGGGAAAACAGACAAGGCAAAGGCAAAGCTATATTTAGTGTAAAACATCACTCCGGGTGAAATATAGCTTCTTACCCCATGAAGGTAAACACTTGCGCACTCTTAATTTTACTTCTCGCTGGGTCAAGCAGGCAGTTCATGGTCAGCTAGGGTGCAGTGGACAACTCCGGTATGATCTGACCGTGACCCCCCAGTGCTGAGAATCTGCTGCTCACTCACATCCTGCACCCCATGTTGTCCTCGAGCTTTCCCCAGTTTGGTACTTGTCTCGCAGGGCGGTGGCCAAGCTGTGGCACGCACCGCTGCCGACAGAGCTGTGGGCAGAGCCAGGCCCGGACCTGCTCATTGGTATGTCGGTTCATTCCAAGTGTCTGTATCCGTGAAATAAACCCCAACTGGAATTTTGACTTTGACTGGAATTTTATATCGTGTTCTGATATGGCTTTACACTTCATCACAATCTCTAATGCCTTTCAAGAGCTTTTTGAAATAGAGTTCGTGCTCATTAAACTGATCTCACATGTTTGGGCCATACTTACCTCCTTCAGACTTTCTGATTTTCAAAACAGGCCAGAAACTGATTTTCAGGCTTTCAAAGTCTATTTGTTAGAGTTGGCAGAATAGAACTGGCCTTTTGGAGTACTAAAATAATTACCAAAATTACCAAAATTAACAGTAATTATTTCTCTTCCTTGCTGGGAACTTCGTATTCCCAGTAGCTTCCAGGTCTGGAAGAAAAGAGCTGACTCATGGTAGTTTGGCCCTGATGCTACTCTGGAAAAATATTTTTAAATTATCGGGCAGGCTGTTGGCTCCCTGGGTTCCACGACAGCCCGCCTGCCGAGCGCTTTGAGCTGGTCTTTTTACTGGAGATGGAACTTCCCTCGTGGTCTGAGCTTCAGCCTTGTTCGTTCTGCTTTGGAAAACACAGTCCACACTCGCTTCAGCGCTTTTGACCTTACTTCTCCCCCTGTTCTTTTATCTGAAGCTGTCCTTCCAGCAGGCTGCAACATTTTCAACCCCTCTAGATTTTTATGCAAGACTCGGCACTTGCTTTGCCAAAACGTTGCCTTCTTTTATTTTGACTTCATTAGAAGAGGTCTGTCCTCTCTGTTATTCTGTGATGTCTGTAGGTGCTTCTGGCTCATCTCCTCCCTATCCCCCCACAATTTTCAGCAATTTAGAAAAAATGTTTTCAGTGCATGTAACGTGTGACTATAAAAGCTGGCAGGCAGACACCTCAGGGAGCAGGCAGAAAAACCTGTGCTGTGCGTGTATGTACCACACGCAGAGGTTTCTAAAGAAATACCTACCTTCTGGCTCAGATTTTATTTCATCTAAATTCTGTAAATTACAGTTAGGACTTATTTTTAAGGCAGCTCTTTTGCTTTCTTTAACTAGGCAGAAGAGCGAAGGTGCTCTCCAAAATAACCTTTGAGTAGAGGGAAGGAAGGTAGGACACTCAGAAGTAGGAAGTCTTTACGCCTAGGACATTTTCCTTATAAATCTGAGGAGAAGGACATGCTTTTTCTTCTCTTCGGAAACCGAAAACTGCGTGTCAAAGATGGTGATAGTTCAGGTTATTTCAACCCTGGAACTTAAGTTATATTTAATTTTCTTTTTTGGGAAAAAAAAAGAAGTCAATTATTTGTGTGTTGCCTTGTCTTGTTCAAAGGGAAACTGTTTTAAAGCAGAACATTTTTCCTGTCCTCACAACTGCTTAAATCGCTGAGGGCTGCTAGTAGCTCAGAACTCATTTCCGCTTCGATCCTTCATGGAATCAACTCTAATATTAAACACCTGCTGGGAAAGAGAGGTGGCACGTTAATTTAAGCAGCTTCTTTCACCTTGAAGTTACTGCTAGTTATCTCCCCCAGTTCCACATACGGAGAAGCAAGCCCTAGCATGTCAGTAGCTTAACTACTTTTTTTTCTTTATTTTGCATGCAGCAAGAGACTTGTTCGACCAGTTACTCAGAAGGAGATCACATACAAACCCAAGCTGAACATTTCATGACCTTGCATGGTTCTAGAAATACCCAGATTTTTAGAACAAAGGCAAGTTCCAGCAAGTTCCCATTTCAGAGAGCTCTATCTTCAAGCTTTTGCTGGTGGCAGCAAGAAAACAGCAGTCTGACAGTTGCAGAGATTTTGTTTACGTGGCACCAGCTGGAAAAGTGGTCACTTCGCCTCGGTTATTTATTTAACCTTCATATTTTGTTGCATACAGTATTCCTTTTAGCATAAAGGCTCTAACTAAAATAGTCATTACTCTTTGAAAGTATGGACCTTGATAAAAATCCGCTGCTGCAAACTTTAAGCAGTGCCACTGAGTGAGAAGCAAAGTTAGGTTGCTAGTGTCTGTTCATGCTTTCTCGCAATGGAGGAGTTCATTTTGACCTGGCTTTAGCTCAGATGAACACACAGGAGTCACTGGGGCTTGCCTTGCTGTTCATGAAGGGAAACAAGCACCTTAAAGGGACAGATAAATCGTATCTAAAAATAGTAAAGTTCTTGTTCAGACCTGTACAAGAACTGTTACAAAGGCTCGGGCGTAGCATAAACAGCAGCAGCTGCTACCGTGCCTGATACTTGCAAACTTAAACAGCGTAGACATCTTTCCAGCATTTTGCTATCGGGCAAATTTTTGAGTGTGTAACCCCAAAAACAATTTCTAATTCTCCACTGTTATACAAACCCACACTGCTGAGGAGCCAGGTTTCATCCGCAGTGAAGTTTCTGTTAACATAGGCCCTACGCGCAGTAGATTCTGGCCTGAAGGCCACCGCCAAGTGGATTCATGCACGCACAAGTTTAGAAAACACCAGAAGAACAGAATTGCAGCAGACGGATCTTGAAAAAAGCAGTATTTATTTTAAAGTACAACCCAAAGTTGTATCTGTAAGAAATGCACAAGGTATCTTGTTTCTTCCACAAGTCTTGGCTGTGTGCATTTCGGTTCAACTTAAAAATGCATTCAGGTTTACAAATGTACAAACAGCACAGACAGTGTAGTACAGTCTCAACAGAATGCTCTTACATTCAGCCATTTTGCTCTTAAGGTTTTGTGTTGGTTGTGTTGGTTTTTTTGTTTTTTTTTTTTCTTTTTTACATTCTTAGAACCTGTGTTAACAAAGACAGCCTTATTTTAAAAAAATACTCTGCATTTTAGCACAAAGTGCCTTTTGATTTTAAATTAGAACTTGGAGGATAATACTGGAAAAAATTTAAAAACCCAAACCGGTACTTTTCATAAAAGTATTGCATGCCAGGACCATTTTATAGTTCAAATTGTTTCCTAAATAAAGATGGCAGATGGCAAAATACGAAACCAGTGAAATTGTTCAGATTTACAGGCTTCTGCTGTAGTTGGGATTTGTGACCACACCCAGACTTTTTCAAGCTTATCTGCAATCTCACACTACCATATTGCAGGACAGACTTAAAAAGGAGCAAGTGATGAAAG